TCATATACCAGTTATGCTATGGGACTTTTGCCAGTCATATCTTCCACTCATTGCTTTTGAAAGAAAAAAAAATCATTTTTTTTTTATTGTTGATGTTTTATTTGCAAGGAAATGTAATTAATATATGTTGAAATACCAAACTTTTACTCTGAGCTTATTTTTAAAGACTAAAGTTTTGAGAAAAAAGTATTTTTAAAAATATTAGTTGCCAAACCAAGATTCCTTGGAACTTACTGTATACTTACAAGGGTTAAATTACTTTCAGGGAAATAAGTTCTCATACGTCATAAAATCCCAGAACTGTTTTGGTAGGAAGAGACCTCGAGCTCACTCCCTGCTGCCCTCCTACTCAGCTAAAGCTGGTTTCCTACACTRTGGGTATATCTAAGGATAAAGATTCCACAACTTCTTTGGGCAACCTGTGCCAGTGCTCTGTCATCCTCACAGAAAAGAAAAAGTAGAAAAATAAAAGTGTTTTYTTGTGTTCAGATTGGCTCTTGCCTTGTCACTGTACATGACAGAGTCTGAGAGAAGTTTGGATCCCTGTTCTTCCTTCACTCCCATCAGGAGTTTACGCACTTTAATAAGATTTCCCCTGTGCCTTCTCTTCTTCAGACTGAAGTGTTCCCACTGTCTCAGACTCTCTTCTTTCAAAGGTGCTCCAGTTCCCTAATTATCATGGCAGTGAGTGCAGCACAGACCCACAAAGTCCATGATCTTCTTTGTAGTCAGAAATTTTAATGTGGTTAAGACACCTAATACAACTAGAAGTAATTTAAACACTACACAAACTTGTTTTTTGAGAAAAATTACCTCTTGCAGCAYTATAAAACCAGAAGTATATGAGATGCTCCTGACAAAACAGACAATTTAATGAGGTGATCTTAAAATAAAATAACAGCTATTCATTAGTTTTACCATTTTTCCAAAGAATATAAGTAGTAAAATATTGTGATGTTTTAATCAGGTTTTGCTATAATTTCCTAAAGGTTTGTTTTAATGTGCAAGCATGACTATACAACCTCTCTTAAGTCAGAAAAGGCAATACAAATAGAATGAAACTTAGCAAAGCACATATAACTGAACACTTACTTAGTCAGGGTCTTAAACCCTGATCTTGTAGGACCAACAGGTGTTRAGTTTCCTCAAATTGAACTTACCAGAGAGCTGAGAAAATCTAACATCTCATCACATCATCTCYAAATATGTGATTTTATAACATGCTACAAAGAATACCATTGGATTCCATGATCTCTGGATCATACTGAAATTCACTTCTAAAATMRAAAAAAAAGTAAATTAATCCTTGATTTTTGCAATGATTTACCTTGTCTGCTATCCACTTCTCAGGATACATGTCTCTGAAATGTTTAGTTCCATAAGCTTCTCGGCCATATTTGCCCGACCCATGAAGTGATGGCTCATACTTTTCATCATTCTTATGATATGAAGAAAATGGCAGAAATCTGAAATTCAAGAATATTTTAAAATCAGTTATGCTCTTCTCTAGATGCCACAGGATTAATGTAAATAATGGATATCAATGCTACAGGAGATGACATGGACACATGTTCCTGCTATTTTTYACTACCCCCTCAGTATTGTGAGAGGATTACTGCAATTTCTTCTGCAGTTGCTTTGAGATGATTAAATTTGGAGCAAAGAGATATAGAGAATAAAATGAGGACTTTGTGCACAAGGGTCTAACTTTGTTCACTTGAGTTAGTAGATGATTATTTTGTCTGAATCTGCACTAACAACTGATGGAATGCTCAGAACCATCAGGGTTTCATTTGCTGGGATGTGCATGTTGATACCTCAGGCCTTAGCAGGCAGTTGGTATTTGATAACCAAAGCTAAATAAACCGTATTCTCATTTCAAGGAACAGAAACTTGCACATATTGGTAAACTACAAACCAGAGAAATGGTTTCTTCAGAATTCACAGATTGTGTACTTTACTCTTAAGTTGTAATTATGTCCTAATTAGCAATCTTTTCGAGCCAGATTCTTTCATTTTCGGTCATAATGATGATGGACTTCTGCCTTGCATAGTGCCAGCGAGCAGCAAAGCTCCAGCTATCTGYTGGCAGARGATTTCAGATGGATGTCCCTAACTWTCATGGACAACCACAGGTTTTCTGGGTATGTTCCACAGCAAACTGTATGGAGGAAGGTGAAAAACATCTGTATATAAGATCTGATTTACAAACATGTCTCAGTTCTATCTGTTTCAGTTTCCAAGAGAGTCATGACAGAAAACAAGTACATTTGGCTATAAAGTGAAACACCGGGAATAAAGTTTATCATTGATGGTACACTGAAAAAATCAACGTGTTCTTTATTCTAGAAGTGCAGGAAAAAATGTTATTCAGTAAAATTAAACATATACACTTCAGAGGCCTAAAATATCACTTTTAACTGCCATGAAAAGTGTAGTTAATCATCATCAAACATGAAAAATGTAGTTAATTAGATTTTTTTTCCTAAAAATTCCTAGGGAAATCAGAGTCCCTATAAGAGTTAGGCAAACAAGATTTTGATAAAGATGAGAATTAATACCCTTCTTTGTCTCTCAGCTGATACAGATGCAGAAAATTATTTATTTTGACTAACTGATTTATTAGCAACTGTTTGTTTTCTTAAATTATTTTTTTCTTTTTACCTCATAAAAGGAAATTGTTTCAGAATCTTTCCAGCTATATCAACTTCTTCTCTCACATGCCACAAACAAATGTCATGTAAAGTTAGTGAAAGAAAATCCCTGAGTTAGCAGACTTTTAAATAATAAAATGCTATAGTAGCATGTGTACACCCATGGGAAAGGACACCCTCACACAAGACAGATTAGGGTACTTGTAATGCTAATTTGCACATGGGATGGACATCACACACACACAAAAATTAATGTGGCCCCAGTGTCCCAGAGAATACATCGAAGGTGCTGTGAGCCGGCTGCTCCACTTGCAGTTTTTATCACTTCTGAATTGCATTTTAATAGTACATTTTTCTTTTGTTCAGACATGAAAGAAAATTGGCTTTCTCAGGGGATTGGATAGCTGAGAAGACAAGGCTTGCAGTTTAGGGATTTGCCCATATATGCAGAGAATTTAGTTGAGCTATAGCATTCATAATTTAATATGAATACCATGTCTGTAAAATTTATACAAAAAATTATAAAAAAACTTGAGGAAAATAGAAGTAAATTATTATAGTTTTCCCTATAAAATTTTCTTCATAGAGGTTTTGATTTTACTGTGGATCAGTTAGTCTTTGTCTTTTTGGCAAACAAATACTCAGAGTAATGTAGGTTCGACTATGATTCAAAAGAAAAACCCCAAAATGAACATTTTGAGACACAATTAGCAGTATGTTCCACATGTAGTTTAGCACAAAGGTGATCTGCACTCTGCTGTATATCTTCTCTAAGATCATTAGCTGGAATATGTGCCGTACAGATTGGAATGTAGGTCTATGGCTGTGTAAATAAAAATAACAACTATGAAGAGTTGCAGTAAAGTGTTGGACAATGAAAATTACTAAAATTTAAATGAAAGAACATAAAAATATAATAGGATATAATGGTATCAAGTAGAAGCTTTTCCTTCTGTTTACAGTTCTGCTGTCAGAGTTAGGAGGCAGATCCATATAGTGATGATGCTCTGACTACAAGAAAGGATCATATGCTTGTAAATTCAGTGTCTCTTTAAAGTAAGTGAGAATTTTCATTATATAAATAAGTAATTTAAAAAATCACAACAATTTTTTGTGTTAAGTAGGGTAACCAAATTAACGGGAGTCATTATACCCCCCCAACCAATAATAATAGTAAGAAGTAATAGCACTGTAAAACACTTTAATAATGGTATTATGTTCTGTAACTCTTTGTATACACCTGACACAGCTTTTCTCAAAATTAATGACACTATGTGCTGTGAAAGTGACAAAAGAGTGATGGAAGAAGAAAATTAAATTCAGACAAYAGTATGATATCATCATCAACTGCGCAAGTTTAGATATCAATAGTTTACATTTCAAAACATTCACTCATTACTCCTATATCTAGGTTTCAGCTTTTCCTTGCAATAKAAATGTAAATTCAGAAATTCTTAAAGGTTTTCAATAAACATGATAGAGGCAGAAGCACTAAAGAAGAAATAAATTCTGTATTGGTGTTATATTGTGCCATAAGACAAAGTCAGTATGAGCTGAGACTTCCCAAAAGATGATGATTTAATGTAAGGCGAACTTTCCCCGAAGAAATACACTGAAAAATGAAAAATTATTTTATGTCAGCCCGAATGAGAGATTTGCCAAACAATGCATTCAAAATGGAGAAAGGGTTGGAACCAAAAATGGGAATCTATCTCAGATGCTATAAATGGCAGAATTACTTGTTCCTGAATTCCTCACCTACCATTCCTTCCTTCTGTTCTGTCTCTTTTATTGCAATCTCTCTGGCTATTTTGAAAGGAGATGGAAGAGGCCTTTTAGATGCTGAAGGCTTTCCAATGGGATTGACAGAGATGACAGAAGCAGCAGCAGGAACTGGCTTCTAGTGTCTATGGCAGTGTGAGAGGAGTGCAGCAGCACAAGCAGGAAGCAGTCAGGTCCATCATTTCCTGCTGGGCAGCAGTGTCCCAATGCTATATGGCACCTACCAATCGGACACAGGACACAGGCAATGACTTCTTCTTGAAATTTAAATTACAACAAAAAAGCCCAGCAGTCTAGCAGAGCAAGCAGGTAATCCTGATGCCAGAAATGCTTCAAAACATTCTCAGGCCTCTGAGAAAGAACTGCCACATCTACTACTGGACTTTCAAACATGCTACACTGCCAGGGCACARTAAGAAATATAAAACCCTGAGTACTATTTAGGTGGGTTTTCAAACTTTCACATTCGTATGTACTGCACATTTTTTAATTTAGTAGTAAAAACACCAGTAAAATATTAACACTCTGTGACACTGCTGAATATTTATCTGAAGTGTTTTTATACAGTAGGAATTCAATTCCTTGTTGTCTTGATTTAATTCAAATAAGACAATTTTATCTCACTTTGAAGAACTCCATGAACAATTAGCTCCAAACAATCCATGCTTCTCTATCAGGGATCAGTGAATATTTTATCTTTTTTTTTTCTTTAATAAAACATGACATTAATTTTAAGCTTCCAAATTTGGGTTATACCTGAAATAATTTTTTCATTAAATCCAACAGTGTCTGTCTTTTCATGAAGAACAAAGAAGGAAGCATAAAGATTTTCCACAGCAAAACAATTGCAGCAGGGCAGACATTATTTCATTTATAATGCATGTATATTAAAATCTAAATGTTAGATATGAGAATAAAGATGGAAAATTTTACTTAACGTATCTAGTGACATTATCTTTACTGCACTATTTTTGTCATGAGAAACCTACTTGGGTGCCTAAGTACAAATATTGGTTTTGGTAATATACTAAATACACWGTTTATTGAAAAAATATCAATCACTTTGATTGTAAGATCAGYAAATCTAAAAATCCTGTGGCCATTTTATTTAACCCTGGTCTGCAAGAATGTCAAGTGACAAGTAAAAGCACAGCCTAGTTCTTTTAGAAAGTAAAAGAGATCTCTTCTGCAGCAAATTCCGGAACTTCTTAATTATACACAGACTTATTATCTGCATCCCCAGTGTTATAAAGTACCAGAACTTCATTAGAAAAATTAAGATGGAAAAATGAAGGAGCTACTTTGTAAATTTCCAGTGGAAATTAGCTGGAAGAAGCAGAGGAATACTGGATCAAAAGAGGGTAATCATGCTTAACTGTGCCCTAGAGCACCCGCATGTATAATACGATTTGCACAGTAACTACCTCTCCTATTACTGCTTGTTTGGAGTATTCTGTGTTAATGGGGTTAGCTAATTTAGTATTTTAACTTAAAAAGACTCTGCTGATTAATAAATGTTGCACACTGTGCTAGTAATTAAAATAAATGGAAGAGTTACAAATAGAAGTTGAATTGTTAAGAAAACATTATCTGAAAATATATGATAATCCCTGTTTATCATAATACAATAACAGTCCGGAAAATATGCAAATTGCTGAAGTTGCAAAGCATATGACAAACTAAGTATAATTTGCAAAAAGTTTTCAGATGTGTTGTATTTGTATCATATAAAATGTAGTAGCCATTTTCACTGCAGCTAARTCAGAAATACTGTAAAAGATTTTATAACTCAAGGAATTAAAATAATTTTTTAAATCCTAAACTTTAAAGTGACTTGCTTTTTTATGTTTTCTTACCATTAACACCGGGCAATTCATAACATCAGTGTTCTTCAAGACAGGGYTTATTTATGTCACTAACTTCTCTGCAAGTGTACCTGTCATGCCCAGCACAGGGTGGCACAGCAGCACCTAAGCTGCTTCTAAAGAAAAGCACAATCTTGCTGAGAATAAACCCATGAGGAGCTCAGTGCCACAGTATTCACACAGTGAGAGGCAGGGTGTGCAAACATTGCTGAGTGATGCAGTGTGAGCCGGACCAGGCTGTGCATCTTCAACACAGCACTGAGAACAAATGTGGACAGAAGCTGAGATGATGYCACTGATGTCACACCAGAAGGCTACAATAAATCAGGAAACCTAAGCCTTACACTATTGCTGTCACCACACTGCATCTCATTCTGATGTTCGTTGACTTCATAAAGATGTTTAATAGATACTTTGAAGTATGAGGCATATTATATGAGACAGATCTCATCAAAGTTAATAAAAATAATTTACATTTTTGTTCTCTGGAAAGTTAGGCTAGCTGCATGCAACTGAGGAAATAACTTTTCTTGCTTCAACTAAAACTGCTGGATCCAGCAGCTGGGATCTCAAACTAGACACTGCATAAAGTGGCCATCCCAAAGGAATGCAACTGTCATTCCTGTCCAAGCAGAGGGGGAAATCACTTCATTTGTACAAAAAAATAGCACAATAAGCTTGTAACAGCTTCAATTACATGAGAAAAAGGAATCATTCTTATTAGGCTGGATCACYCAGTTGCTCTTTCATTAAAGAACAGGAAATTCCAGCAGTTGCCTTAAATAAGCAGTACTCTCTCTTGGTTTCATTTGTATTGCTTCTGCCTGCCTCAAACTCTCTCACAGCTTTTCCAAATTTTTCTATCGCAAAAAGCAGGAACTTTCTCAGACGTGSAACCCTTATCCTATCATGCTGTAAACAATCACTCTAAAGAACCCTGATAATTAGGGGTGTGTGGGAATTCTGAATGCTGTTGATAATTTCAGGTATATGCCAACAATCTTTCTGTCTTAAGAGACCTCACTCCAGAAACATACATATCAAGGATTCAGTTTGTACTTTTAAGAAAAACAAGCTTTCTCAACAAATGCCACATACTTCTGCTACTCATTCGTTCCTTATTTTCTAAAACAGAAGAATAATCAGCATAGAAAGCACTACCAGGAAGAAATAAAGTCCCAAAGTACACAATTACATTGCAAGAAACAGAAATTTGTCAATTCATAATAGACACTGCTGAGAAAAAAAAAAAAACTACTGTAGAATCTGAGTAACCCTTTGCTGGCTCCTCCCTGGAGACCAACATCCCACACAGCAGCTGCAGCATTACTAGCGAGCATTAGTCCTGGTGATGACCTGCAGCTCCATCATCACCTTTTCAAGGTTACAGATGTGACCCTTGCATGGTTGGTTGAATAAGAAGCACAAATGGAATGATCACAGCCTGAAAATGTGTAATACACTCTGCATTTAGTATGCATGAAGCTGAGAATCATTGATTGTTAGGACATTGTTTCTGTGCATTAAGGATGGCACTAAATGCTTCCTTACCCATAAGGTAAATAAAGACTCTGTATCAAAYCATGTCTACCAAAGTTGGAGGCTCCAAATTTAAACTGTTCAAGACCAAATCTTCACAATTCCTGCACTGAAGAGTCAGTGAAGTATTTGTCTTAAGGTCTGACCTTCTGAAACTGTTGACACAGTGACATCTGGGGTAAACTTCATCAAATAAAGACTGGGCCATGTAGTCATGCCTATAAATGAAGGACACCACCTACCCTCAGTTGGAATGCATCGATCACAACTGATTCAGTCAAGAAAACAATTTAAAGGAGAGGTGGAATATTAATTACTACCTAGTGATAGGGATTCTTTTAAATTTCACCAACAGAAGTTAGATTAAAAAAATGAAAACACAAAAAGCACAAATTTAAGCTGAGATGTGAAAGTTAAGCTGCTTCCTCCTCACACCAATACATAAAAGAATACAGAGTGGAATAGAAAAGGRAAGCGTATGTATACTTTTAACTTAACTCCGTTAGGATTTTAGTACAAAATGAATAAAAAGTGCTATATCTCACTAAATATAAAAAAGAAGACCACCAAAAATATTGCCCAAAAGTGAAAAAGTAGTCTAACTGAAATATTTTCACAGTTTCAAAATTGTTTTTGAATAGCATTTTCGTTCAAAGACACTAATTATAAATCAGGGGAAACAATCCAACAATAAAAACATAGAAGCTAAACCATGCAATCACAATTGATTCTGGCACACTTAAGTCCCAGTCCTGAAGATGACACATAGCAATATGCAGCAGATAAAAAAGCATGAAACAGATCAAAGATAGCAAAGCATCCTGTGCCAGTGAATCAGTGGATCACAGGCTGCTCATGAGGAAAAGTGATTCCCTTCTGTCCTCAATTCTGATAGTGAAGGGCCAAAGGATTGTCAAGAGCAGTAAATTCAAGGAAAAAGTTGACAAAACAATTCATTTTCTGGTTAACTACAAAGTCAGAGAAGGTGACTTAACAGACTTTTATTATGATTGGAGAAAACAGTGNAAAAAAAAAAAAAAAAAAAAAAAGACAAAAAGAGAAATATTTTGACAACAGCTTTAAATCTTTTGGGACAGAAGCCTTAATCTTTTGGGATGGATTATGCCTGTATTTGAGATTTTATGGAAAAGAACTGGCCTGTCTGACACTATTACAGATGCTATGGCATTGGAAATCAAATTGCTTCAAAGATTATTCCAGATTTGTATCATGTTTTAACGTGTAACATATGCTCCCTTCCCTTCCAAGTAAGCTGTGGTACCCTACTGGGAGACAGGACAAGTCTCATTGGCATGCAACACCATTTTTTCCCCCCATAACCAGCAAACTTGCAAAATATGAAGACTGAAACAGTATTTTTTTCCTCGGCAAGGTGCATGTGGCATGACAGAATTTATATTTGTTTTCTTATTTCCCGTTAAAGCCATCTGTTGCATCACATATTATTATTATTATTATTATTATTATTATTATTATTATTATTATTGCAACAACTTCTATAGATTCATAGATATGGATGGCACATGTCACACAATTACAAGATAGGGTCTCTGCCCTGAGCAGTTTATAATCTAAGGACACAGAATTTAGAAGTATATACATAAAATGCTTTCTAGTAAGCTGTCAGGTTTGACATTTCATTTTGTCAGGTTTCTGAAAGCAACAGAATAAAGAAAACACCCTCGTAACAATATCAGAAAACCCAAAGCACTTACTCATTCTCATGTATAAGATGTCTCCATTCCCCCCTTCGTGGTCGCTCTTTGGCCTTGGCTGGTGGTGAATCRCTCGATTCTGCCACTCGCAGGGTTGGGTCCAAAGGCTTGTAGCGCTGCCACAACACGTCAGCGTGATCGCGGAAAGACCCCTGAAAGGAGTAGGGTAATACAAGTAGTTTATTTTGGGGCAATAGTTCTTTTCCTTCCCTCTTTTGTTCATGGCACATCACTGATGAAACAAGAGAGAGAATGTCTGGGAAGTGTAGTGAGACTTTTCTTCCAAAATAATAAAAGCAGTTTGTTTTGATAGAGACTTACAAATAACATAAAGGTTGATAACATACTCTAAATCTTCAAAGAGAGAGTGAGAAATGTGCACTCCAAATTTATTTAACTACTAATAAAGACTTACTATTTAAAATAAATACTTTGCTAGAACTGATTAGGAGAACTTAGTTTTTCCTTAGGAAAACAATATTGGTGAAATAAAAAAACAAGTATGAACTATATCTAAATTCTGCTTAAGCAGAAAACTTARGTCTTACTTTGCATAGATCAAACCTTAAAGAAAATGCTTTATTCAATGCAAATATAAAGCTACCTAGAAGGGAACTTAATGCATGACTTTAGATATAAATTCTTCTAACAGAATCCAAACTCATCACTTCAGTAATATAGGCATGTAGTCCATTTTTGAAAAGTCTAATTTCACATTAACTTTGTTATTCTTAAAAAGTACTCATATATGTCTTTATTTCTCCAAGTATATTGTTTAATAACTAATTGTATCAGTATCTACCATTTAACTGCATGGATAAATAACAGCAGGAAGTCCTCTCCTGCGCWGCTGAAGTGACATCTCCTATATGTCTCGCTTTTAGTATTAACCCTTAATACTTACCTGGAATATAATTAGTGCCATGTGCCACTCTGGACAGTTTAATGGCAACCCTGGACTTATAAGTATTACTAATTAATTTTTATTTTCATCACTGTTGATCTTGCAATGAACTTGTGAAACCTTTTGAAACTATGAACAGACAAAGAATCCTAATCACAGCCTTTATTCTTAAAGATTTCCTTCTTTAAATAGGTTATCACTAACAAGTCACAGCTGGAGTTACTGCAAGCACTGAGTGAAGACTGTGGGGCTAATAAAAAGAAATGATTCACGCCTCATTTATGTTCACTTACGTTTTACATTAATAGAAACCAATAATAGGAACCAGTTACCATAAAAGTCATGGACCGTAAATAACACAAATGGCAAATAAGTATCATCTAGTACTTTTCACAGCTGGACAGGAGGATTGCTATATTTGAAAGTAGTTAATGGATTTTTATTGGAACTTTACTTTTTAAAGGCGCAGCACCAAGATTTGGAGATCTTTTTAAAGGTTCCAGGAGGCAAATAAGCATAATATATACACTTCTTGCAGGTATTTTCTTGCTACTGTTTTCTGAGTAAAAAAAAAAAAAAAGTTCATTTAAAATGAACACAAAAGTCTTTAAAAACAGAATGAAAAGTGTTACCACCCATGAGAGAATAATCAGTATTAGTACAGGTCATTAAAATTAGTCAGTAATGTTCTAGCAATATATAACTTGATCAGGTTATAAAAAAGCCTAAAATGTATTAAAATATGAATATTCTTTGTTACAAGATGTTTGCATTGAGTGGATATATGGAGGAAGGAAGAAAGAAAAGTACTATTGCAAAATAATATGCTTGCTCTTAGAAGTAGTCTTTCAGAACATTGCATTTTTTCTTCACTGAAAAATATTAACTCATATTCGACCAGGATGAGGGCTAAATCAGATATCCAAGTAAGGGGGTTTCTCCATCTTTAATTTRTAAGACTTAACCAGGAGTTAGATAGAGAAAAAAAAATCCCAGTCCATAGTTCAAGTAAAATTACAACTGCTAATAGATGGAGAAAGCAAAGTATATAATTAGAATACTGAGCTAATTCTAAACATTACCTGAAGATTTTTCCGTTATTCTTACTCAAGTATTTAAAGACATTTCTAAATAATAGGGACCTCAGGAATGTATTTTAAATGAAGACGTCTAAAAAATCCATGTATCTATTTCCATTTTACAAGATTAAGACTTGTGGAAACTGTGGTAGAGGGGTGCTTAAAAATGTTTTCAAATTGACAGTGCTTGCAAGCATTTCAGGCATCCTGCTTCAAAATGGAAATCTTTCTGGGGAGGTCAGGCTATGTAAGGAAGGCAAGGAGTCAACCAACAATTTTTACCCTGAAGGAAATTCATGCAGCTCTATSCTCTGTTTGGAATTTGTACTGAGTAGCACAAATCTTCTTGATACCAACTGGTTTGCCAAATAAAGGTTAGCAGGTCAGCATTCTACTGCTTTACCATAACATCAGAAGCTCATGATAAAAAAAATCTGCATGAAATTATGCATTTCTCACCTTCCCATTCCACAACAGATCAGAGCATACAAAAACACCTAAATGGTAATGTGCATTCTGTTATTAATGCCTTTTAATGAATAGACTTATTTTAATTTTAGCATTATCCGTGTTTCTATAAAACTGTAATTCTAGTTAACTCTAATAAAAATGACAGATCTAACTGATGTATAAGCATCATTAAAACCTTTCTTTTAAATACACTATCTTACACACACAGAGCTTACCTATTAAACACTAAATACTCATTTCCCGAAGAGAAAATGGAAAKATGGTCAATTTTTTTTCTTTTAAACATATATAATTGACATCCTCATATAAAACGTATGGGCAATAAAAATTTTAGATACCTGAAAAAAAGTAACAAGTGGCTCACAGTGAGCCAGACAGATATTAGAAAAAGTGTTTCCACAAAGAACTAGGACACAAGTATATCTACTAATTAAATTTCTTATTTTCACACCAGACAACTTTCAGGATGATGTGTTCTGATGGGTTTTCATTTCCAGCTGTTTCATCAGCTCAAACCAGTGTCCTTTTCTTAGACATACAACCCTAAATTGTCAAAGTGTTGTGCAGGGATTTAGCCGTGTGACTCCCACTAACATCAATAAGAGTCGGGCAGCTAAATCCATGCGCTGTGCTTTGAAAATTTACCCCACAGTGTACATCCCAGGGTGCTGAAAGGATTAAAGTATTATATAGTAAATTCCCTCTTTGAGGTGCAGAAAATAAACAGAACTCTTCTGGTTTGTTCTAAAAGGCTATCTGTGCATGACTGCTGTGCGTGCGTCTGAACTTAGAAAGGTCTATAAAATATTCCAAATCCAAGCAGAAGCTTGTAAGATACTTTGTATACAATAAAGCAGTTTTGCAAGAGCACCTTAACAATGGAGAAATTGTGAGTTCTCTATTTATTTAAAAGCCTGATTCCTGGACCATGTCCTCAAGGCRAAATCTTTCCCTTTCCTGAGAGACAATGCAACCAGTCACATCCTGCTCAAGGACTGTCATAGCTCTCTTAGTCCCAGAAGATAAAGCTGTAATGTCATGTTTATGTCAACTCCTAACTCCCTGATCACCCAAACTACTTGCTGGCTCACACGTTGTCTCAATTCTAAGGTGAGTCAATGAGGTCGTTCTGTGAGGAAGCTCAAGGAGTCAAGTTAGGGAGAACACAGGGAAGGAAGGACAAAGGTGGAGAACTGACCRAAAGTTGATTATTATTGTGATAAGCAGTGTGCTCACCTCTGCTATTCCAGAGATATTCTTACAAGTTTGCACCTTCTTAGAATCATAGAATCGTAAAGGTTCGAAAAAACCTCCAWGATCATTGAGTCCCATCTTTGACCAAACACCATCTTGTCTACTAAACCATAGCATTAAATGCTACTAAATCCACTCATTTCTTGAATGCTTCCAGGGATGGTGACTCCATCAGTTCCCCGGTCAGCCTGTTCCAATGTCTGACCACCCTTACAGTGAAAAAATTCTTCCTGATGTCCAAAGTGAACCTCCCCTGGCACAGTTCAATGTTATGTCCTCTTGTCCTGTCACTGGTTGCCTGGGAAAAGGGACTGATCCCTACCTGGCCACAGCCTCCTTTGAAAGAGCTGTAGAGAGTGATATTGATTCAGAGTAGAACACCCTTAAAGTTACACATACACTGCTCATAGCTCAAGTTGCTACATTTCTGSAGATGGGTGATAGCTTCACTGGAAGTTACTAAGGATTCATGTAGAAGCATTGCTTTCTAAACAAGACACAGAGGAGGAAATTTAAATATAGAATGGAGTACAAAAAGGAAAAGTGTCAGAGGTTCTGAAGACATTGTGTCATTCAAAGTGAAACCATCATGGAAAGCATGTTTGTGAGTTGAGCAGAAGATTCAGTAGATTGGGAAACTGGGAGGTTTTTCAGAATAGAGGGGAAGACAGAATATTTCTATACCAAAAGTAACTGTATCAGGCACCTACTGGCAAAAGCTACATGTCATTGTACTGTCACCAAAGGAGGAACACAAAGGTCTCAAAAGTTTGTCTGCTGTATATATTGGTCACCTCTCCAGCAGGTTTTGAAAATAAGGTGGCAAAAACTGYTATCTCACAGATGGCCATAACTTTACAGAAGAGAAAAAGTCTACCTGCAGCATATGTTGGCATCAACTGAAATTAAAATTGAGTCCAGGACAGTTAAGAATGGAAGCTGGGCAACTTTGCTATGATGGAGCACAAAATGTGGAAATCTTTGTAATTCAAGCTGACACACACCTAGTGGACACAAGAGAGCAGGAACTGTTCTGAAATGAGAGGGTGTCTCAGTCCTCATATGGAAAACAATTGCAAACTGAGGAAAAAGTTGTCTCAACTGTTTAATTTGCCCTCTTAGCTTTCACTTCTTTTTTTTTTTTTGTATCGATTTAAGATTGGAAATTAAAATTTCTAGGTCTAATGAATCATAATATTGATATTCAACTGTATCAGGTTATACCTTTGAAATACCATAAATTACACTTTTTTCCCCAAAGGACAAAAACAACACATAAAGAATCATATTTCCRTGTTTTTACATAACACCTAGATTTCTTTTTCTTTAAGTCAAATCTGCATCAAAGACTTCATACCTTAAATTCAAGCACACTTGCATTTTTTTTTTCTTTTTTTTTTTTAATTCACAAAARGTATTTTCAGACCTGGTGATCGAACTCAAGATATTCTGTGATAATCTATAATAAAATATGTGAGGAAAAACTGCCACAGAGTCACTGGAAAATGTTACCTGAGGTTTCTGTCTGTCAGTGGGCAGCTGAGGCAGTGCTGTGACGAAAGCTGGAGGTTTTTTGCAAGTTGGCCAGGCATAGACCTCATAGGGAAAGGGAYTCTTCACTTGCTGCTTTTTGTGGGTCAGTGGCTTTGACTTCCGTAGCAGCAGTTCCATGGGATCTGGGGATATTCTGCGTGGTGAATTGTAGATGCCTGGAATCTGAGCAGAAGATGGGAATATCTTTGAAATCAACTCAATTAAATTTCTATATACATTAGGAACAAAATCAGACTGCAGCACCTGCAGCAGTTTTAAAAGTAAAACAGACATTGGTTAAGGAGAAATARAAAATAATTCATTAAATATCAAAACCCAATAAACATTTTTTTCCTAACAAAATGCCCACAATATATTCCTGAATCACTATTACAATATGTTCAGTCTTAATGGCATAAAATAAGGAAAACCAAAAATTTAGCATACTGATTTCTAAACTGTGACCAAAATTTAAAGGTTCATTTGTCACTGAATTCGATTTTTTTACATAACTAATTGCATCACTAGTGTGATAYAAGAATTACTAATATAAAACATGTTTCAAATTCTGTTTTAGTGATCTACATTGTTAGCAATCTGTGAATATCTGACAAGTCACAATTATGTGACAGACTGTTCCCAAATCATATCTATAAATGAAGGGATTTTATCAGTTGYATATAAACAATTTCCAAATACACATATGTGAGTTTACTGAATTATTTATGAGCTGTTAAATATGAGAATTCCAACTCTACGTTGCACAAAGCCACMGAATTCCCTATAAAACATAACATATGATTAAAAGACACAAAAACCAATTTAAAGATACTGAGTTTCTTTAAAGATAATTATATTTTCTACAATGGTATACTAAAACCTTTAAAGTAGACTTGCTCAGTTAAAATATACTGTCCTTTGCTTTTATCATAATTCTAATTACTAATAAACTTTGAATAAAGGAAAAGAGTAAATATTTAAAATATTGTATTGCTTCTATGGAACACTACTGAGGACCCATGAGAAAACTATGTAGGGCGTCAGCTCCTCATAAAGAATTAAACTCTTGGGGCTAAGAGGATCGAACACTTTCCAATTAGCTCTAATGCATTTTTCATTAACATATCCTTCTGGGAAGTTCCAGTTTCTTGTGTCAAAACAATTAAATAAGGCACATATAAAACATAGCATCTAAYAGACAAAAATATTCAGGGATGGTAACTTATTCAAAATACTGTTGGGCTATTCAAAATTTTATGGGCTACATTCTTCAACTCTCTATGTGATATAGGTCTAATGACAATTTATTTTGGTTTTCTGTTAAATGCTCCCCTCTTAGTGCAAACCCTACAAACTAGTTCACTAATGATCTAAATGTACAATGGGAAAAAGGACAGGAATAGAGGTAAGTGGCAGAATCATATGTATGCCAAACCACCACTGGTTGTTCCTTCAGCTCTTCAGGATGCCAAATTAGAATGGCAGGGATCCATGCTTCAAACAGCAGGCAAGCAGAATCACTGGAATGAATGTGAAATTCCAGGTCCATCTCTATGATCTGTACAGTTCAGCTGGACATTAATCTTTTGTTCTGCAAGTCTGGCTCTTACTCACATAAACATCTCATAAAGCTACAGATCCTTCTCATGCTGTTATTATTTTTGTAGTACTTCATACGTTGTTAGATTGCAATTTTCTAATCAGCCCAGCAGTTTTGCTTGTGAACACTTGGTGACCTGTTAGTGCTACATAAACACAGGTTCCATATCTTATCTCAGAATTTATTGCACCGTTGTTGAACAATTATTGAATGTATTTACACCATACTGATGTTACATAAGTTCTCTYAAATATATAATGCTGCAGTCAACACAAATTCCACACAAATTGAAAACATTAGATTCATGTAAATTAGATCCCTTGCTGAAGATACACAGACCATCTCTATAACACGGTCATCTTGTCTCTTCACTCATTAATCCTACCATAGCCTTTGGATTTGCCTACACTCTGACCAATTAATTTTTTGGCTTCACTATGTTGATGACAGTAAATAGAAAATTAGTAGCCTGCAACTACCTTTGTTTATATATTTCACTGAATTGTTGCTTCATCTCTGCACCGCTTCCCACACCACCCATTTTCTGCTGTGGAGATTGTGCTCTAGCCATGCCATAAGTGTGCAGAGGTCCCCAGTTAGAGGGAGAGATACTGCTCTCATGGTTTTTCTGTGAAACACATATTTTACAGAATGTGACAATGTCACTGAAAATGTARAARTTATTCAGAAGAAAAACATCTCCARTATGCATCACTAAGAACCAGGGTGATCTGGAAGAAAACACTAAGGTACWATAACAACTCTAAAGTTGGCAGGCATAGATTTGTTATCAGCCCCTGATCAGGGCTGTATCTGTCCAAAATTTACAAATTGAGAAGGAAATATAACCATTTTAATGAAAGAAAAAATTTAAATGTTCGATTATTTCAATCTACATAGAACAGGTTTGGGATTTGGGGCTTGTTGCTCCAAAGTGGAAAAATACAATATCTGAAATAATTTGAACATTTTATCTCAGAAGAATTAAATGCAACAATAACTCTAAATTGAAGTCCTGTCTGGGCACTTCTTTTAGTCATACTGAGACACACAGTATAAGTGTCTTGGTGAGTAAAATGGCTTTCTGGAATTGCATTTTGTAATCTCTGTTGATACACTATGTATATTCTACTTTGTATTTCTTTGATTAAATGTTTGGCAGTAATAAAAAACTATAGTTCATAAAGGGTTCAGTCTGTGCAATGCTACTRAATATTTCCAGGTGCACTAATAGAATTGGCTTTTAGCACTTTCAATGAAACCAAAATTAGCCATAATAGATGTGGAAATCTATTGATTCAGTATCTTTTGAATTATTATTCCTGAAAACACATCTTAACAAAGAGTCATCATTTTTTGCTCTTTTTTTACACACTCAGGTTAAATGCATGCAGATATTATATCAACTATGAAAATGGATCTTGAGCTTAGGGAGGCCAGCTGGACACTTTAAAAGTTTTTGCTTCTTCCACAGTTGAAACTCTTTGTAAGATCTGGGTCAAAACTGATTACAAAGCACACATTTAAATAATGACTTTTCAAGCAATCCTTGCTAATTACTTTACATTTTAATTATATATGTTCAAGTATTCAACAAGACACATAGCAGAGCAATCAACTGAGTTAGTATCTAGACAGATAAAATTAACACTAATTTACTCTAAATTCCCCAAGGTTTGTGGTAAGGTTAGGCCTAGATTTAAAATTGGTAAAGTTTGGTGGGAGTGACAAGGAATGAGTTTGATTCTACTTTCTAGTTCAGATTAAACTCTGGAAATACTGCTTCCATTCTTTTTTTTAAACATCTCTGCAAATTTTAGTCTTGTTTTGGGAACTTTTGCACTGTGCAGTGTGGTGATGAACACCCTATCCACTCTATCCTCTGCAGGGAGCTGGCATTCTACAGAAATCAAAAAATTTGGGAGAGCAAAGKCTTTGGTACTTAATCCATTTATATTTGGTACTTAATCCCTGCATATCTTCTTGAAACAAGTAAAAGCATTATTCCATTTTTCCCTACTTTAATACAATATTCTCTCAACTRTAAAACCATTGTACTTAATACTGCTTTTTTAATGGTAGAAAAGTATCTGTCTTGGATATTATCACACGGTATGATTTCAATATTTTCCCCACCTTTAGTCCATAAAAAAATATGTAATACTCCAAAATATTATCATAGATTACAAAAAGAACCTCTGGTCTGCAGGGAGAAGGACACATATTTCTGTACCCGTGCTCTTCAACACTAAGAAGGGACGGTGTCAAAGCCAGCTTTCAGGACTTCATTTGCAGGAACAAAYTTCTAAAGTGACAAACACTAGGGGGAAATCTGTGCTAACTGTTAAAAAACTTRCAACTGAGTTATTTGCAGTACTGTCATGCTAACTTCCACCTCAATAAGACCAAAGAAATCTCAAGAGGGGACTCTGCTAATAGCTTCTTACTGACCTCCTTACATCAGGCCCTTCTGGTGAATGGTGGCCCAGTGGAGAATATGGCAAATGAGGTGTGAAAGCAGAGATTTTTTTTTTTAAGACCATGGTTCTGGCTCGTCAGGGAAAATTTAAAAAAAAATTGAAAAAAAAAAGAGAGAGAGAGAGAGAGAGAGAGAGAGAGAGAGAGAGAGAGGAATGAGTTATACAATAGATATATTTTCCCCTAGAATTCTCTGCCTCAGACCTTCCATCATGGAAACCCAAGCATGACCTGGAATATTAATTGTGTCAGGTCAAGCATACTGGCAAATGTACCATTTGTTACCCAGTCATCCTTAGCATTACATTAATATTTTGAATCATTTTGCATTTCTAACACTCTATCATTTAGTTTCCTCCCAATCATTTTCTTATCTTTATAATTAATGGTCACATATAGAGGAAGAAAAAAATCGTAAGAAAACAAATATTAATTTAATGACCATTAGCAAAGAGAAGATTTGGGGTTTTTTATTGTTTGTATTGCTCCAACCACTAATGCTCCAACCACTAATGAGTAATAAAATTTACTCAGTGCTAAAGAATATCCATTTTTGTCTTTTCCTGTTTATCATTTCAATACAGAAAGACTTAACTGTCTTTCTTTCTATCTAAATTAATTTTTTTCAGAATAAAAGAAAATAATCATTAAGGAGTTACCTTGAAAGCTAAACTATGAAGTAAGGCAGTAGCAAAAGAAATAGAAAGAAAGAAGAAAGAAAGGAAAGGAAAATGGTGCAGGTAGAAAGGGAAAGACAAGGCCGTGTTGATTATGCTGGACAGTCCCTCAGAAAAGATAGGTGAGCCCAAGTGGTATAATAAATCCTGAGCAGTTTAGATTCTGCTATTTTCATGTATTAATTAATTATTTCTTAGTCTCCTTTCCTACTTCTTGGCTGAGCTTTTAAAGTCTATGTAAGAAGTAGCATTGTTGCTATGCTGCAAATAATTACACACATGSAAAATTAAAAATTGACAAAGCTAAGCTGAAGATAAATTGTAAGCATTGTGTCAATAGAAAGTGTATTCTGATATATTTACATATTTTTACTGTCATTTAACTAAGCAATAATAAAGACATGCTCTATTTTAATTACTTTCTCACA